CGCCAGCGCGCGTACGTGGATGCACGCCACACAACTACGTGGCCGTCGTCGGTGCCGCCGAACACCAGCCCACGCGCGGCCACCTGCGACTCGGTCAGGTACGCCACGTTGGCTGCCAGGCTTGTAAGCGTCGTGTCCCCAGCTGCCAGCGGCGCCTGCGCCACCACATGCGCTGCGCCGGCGCCAGCACCCGTGCGCATCGTGTCGAACACCCACACGCCGCGCGCGCCGGCCACCCACAGCTCGCGGCCGTACAGGATTGCGGCGGTGCGTGACGACGGCGCACGGCGCATGGCTGACATCTCGGGCGCCAGCGTGAAGCGGCGCAGCGGCACCAGCGCTGCCTGCGCGTCGGGGCCACCGCCTGCGCTGCGATCACGCCACACCTCGCACGCGCCATCGTCGCGCACGGTCCATATCTCGCCGACGCCGCCGGCCAGCAGACACGCCACGCCAGCCGGTGCACCGCCCACGCCCAGCGCCTCGGTGTACGCACCAGCGCCGTGCACGTTGGCCACCACCACGCGGCCGGCCGACGTGCTTGCCCACACGCGCGCACACTCGGCCTGCACGTCGCCGCCTGCGTGCACAGGCGCCACGCTGGTGAATCGCTCGTCGGGCCCGGGTGCGTTGTGCAGCGCGCACACCTCACCGGTCTCAATGCGTGTGCACACAAGCCGCGCCTGGCTGACCACCACAGCGTATGCGCCGCCCATGCACGACACAACAGACCCGCTGCTGCCCGCGCCCGTGGCGCCGTCCAGGCTGAGGAACGGCGGCACGCCCAGCGAAGGCGGCCGTCGGTTGCTGCCCGCAAAGCTCAGCACCACCGGCCGCACCGCCGCGTCGCTGCTAAAGTCCAGCGCCGACCGCGTCGACCGCATTTGCGATTGCGCGCGGCCCAGCGTGGCAAACGTCGTTGAAATCTGGGGCACATGTGCCGGTGGCGGAGGCGGTGGTGGCGGAGGAGGTGGAGGCGGAGGCAAGCCCGTTCGCCTTGCGCCGGCGGTTGCAGTTGCGGCTTGCGCTGTAGGAGGAGGCGGGGGTGGTGGAGGTGGTGGCGGCAGTGACCCGCCTCGCGCTACTTGGGTGACAAAGTGCGAGCCGATCGCCGACGGCGACCGCGACGCGGCGATGCCCGCGGGCTTTGGCGGCGGCGGGGGCGGGCGGCTGAATCGGTGCTGCGCGACTCCGGTCGGCGACCGCAGCATCGGCGGCATCGACAGCGACGGACGCGCCGAGGCGTCGGTGGCTCGCCGGGCACCTGCGCCCACCGCCGGGGGCATTGTGGCGATGGGGCTGAGTGGCGCGTCGTCTGTGGCAGCGGGCATCTCTGGGCTGGCAAACGGGTTGACGGAGGCGTCGCTGTTCGTCAGGTACAAACTCTGGATGCGGTCGCGCACGCTGGTGGCCGAAAACACAGACTCTTCGGACTCTGACTCTGACGCAGGCTCGCGTGGCTGGGAGCCGACGCCGCTGATCCTCAGACCGCCGGCCGATCCCGTGGACCGCAGCGCTGGCGGCTTGGCGGCAACTGCTGGCCGCAGCCGCTCGCGCTGCAGTGATTCCCTGGAGGGTCTGTTGCCGGCGCTGGTAGCCGGCCTGTCGAGCCCCAACAGCGCTATGCGCTCTGCCAGCGTCTTTGGCGGCGCCGACTCCGTTTCGGTGTCGTCGTCGCCCGGCATTTCAACTGTGATTTGCTGCGTGTGAAAAGAGTGCGGAGTGCGGGCAGCTGGCGAAAATGTAAAACTTGAAAAGCAAGCGCGCAATCGGCGGTCAAAAAATAAAATTCGAATTAGTCAAAAAGGGCAAACAAAAGAAAGGGAGTGTGCAGGCCGGGTGTCTGAATTGCAAAGTTCTCTTCAGGAGCTACGGTCGATGATGCACTGCACGCAACCGCCTTGTGGGGCACTACAAAAAGAGGCTGGCTCGTGGCCGCCGCATTCTTAGGGCCTCTTTTGCTTCTGCTTTCTTCACCCGAGTCACACACACACTTTAATTCGTCTCTCAACTCTCGCAAATTCGCAACCTTTCTTTGTCCCCGGTGACTTTTAGCTCACTTCCTAAGTCACTCTTCTGCCCCCATTCGCCATGGGCCACCCGACCCCCCTTCCCGATCAACCCGCCCAGGGACCTGCCACCACGCAGCCTGCCAAGGGCCCTGCGCGCCGCAAAAAGAAGCAGCCGGCTGCAGTCAAGACCCCGCCAGCCAAGGACCAGCACAGACCGCCTGCGCACCTCCCGGCCATCTACGCCGCGCACTACGACGCCGCCCAGCTGGCCACGGGCCTCGTGACCGGCGAGCTCGTGCGCGGCGTGCTGCGCGCAAACCCCAAGAACCGCAGCGACGCGTACGTGGCACCCGACGAGTCGCCAAGCGCGGCCGCCGTGCACCGCCATCCACAGCTGGCCGCGTACGACGTCGGCAACGGCAACGATATCTACGTGTGCGGCGACGCCGACCGCAACCGCGCGCTCAACGGAGATGTCGTGGCCATACGCATCCTCACCAAGGCACAGGCGCGCGCGTCGTACCGCACCCATCGCGCAATGGACGACCGCCATCACGACCGCATGCGTGCTCAGCGCCGGTCGCGTCTCGACCGCATGGCCGCGCGCGCAAGCGACACTTCCTGCAGCCCCACATCGGCATCTGGCTCTGAAGACGCCGGACCGCGCGTGCCCGAGGTCTTCGGCGCCGTCGTTGGCATCCTGTGCGCTGACAACAGCCGCTGCTTTACAGGCACCCTGTCGCGCGACAAGCCTGCGCTGGTCAAAAAACACGCGGCATTTGCGCGGTCGCTCGATCCTAGCACTCTGTGGTTCCGCCCGCACAACAACTCGCTGCCGATGATGGCGCTGCCAGCCGCCGGCGTGCCACAGAACTTATACGCAGGTAAAGCGCGGCGCTGCTGCAGTGTGCGCGTGGTGCGGTGGGACGCCAGCGACCCTGTGCCGACGGCCGCGCTGGTCAGCGATCTAGGCAGTCGCGGCTCGCTCGAGTCAGAAACACGCCTGATCCTGGAGGAAAACGGCGTGCGCACCGAGCCGTTCTCGCCCGCCGTGCTGCGCTGCCTGCCCGCGGCGCCATGGCATATCCCGGCACGCGAGCTGAGGCGGCGCACCGATCTGCGACGCACGTGTGTGTTCACGATCGATCCACCGACGGCGCGCGACCTGGACGACGCGGTCAGCTGCGAAGCGCTGCCCAACGGCAACGTGCTTGTGGGTGTGCACATCGCCGACGTGTCTCATTTTGTGCGCGCAGGCACGGCGCTGGACGCCGAGGCGCGGCGCCGCGCCACTACCACGTACCTGGTGCAGAAGGCCGTGCCGATGCTGCCGCCCATGCTATGCGAGGATCTGTGCAGCCTCAACCCTGCCGTTGACCGCCTGGCGTTCAGCGTCATGTGGGAGATCGATCCTGCGTCCGCCACCGTGTGCGCAACATGGTTCGGCCGCACAGTCATCAACTCGGCCTGCAAGCTGGCCTACGACGACGCCCAGCGCATCATCGACGGTGCAAGTTTGCCCGATTCTATTGCCTGCTTCCAGGTTTCCCAAGCCCACAACGTAGGACCTGCGTCTGCCAAACGCCGGCATCTGATCGAGGAATCGATCCGCTGCATCTATCGCCTGTCGCTGATTATGCGCGCCCGCCGCTTTGCCAACGGCGCGCTGTCGCTCACCAGCGTGCGGCTCAGCTTCGACCTCGACGCTGCTGGTAATCCCACCAGTTGCGCGCCTTACGCCATCAAGGACAGCAACCGGCTGATCGAGGAGTTTATGCTGTTGGCCAACATGAGCGTAGCTGCGCGCATCGAGGCCTCGTTCCCTGACGCCGCGCTGCTGCGCCGCCATTCGCCGCCGCTGGCCCGCCGTCTCGACGAAGTCTGCGCCCAGCTTCACCATGCCGGCATCACCATCGACCCCACATCGTCTGCCTCTATCCAGGCATCGCTTGCAGCTATTGCCGACCCCGACGTGCGCTCCACCGTCGAGTGCGCGCTCACCGCTCCTATGCAGCGCGCCGCCTATTTCTGTACCCACGCCGTAGCCGACCCCGCTGCCTACGCGCACTACGCGCTCAGCGTGCCTCTCTACACGCACTTCACCAGTCCCATTCGCCGCTACGCCGACGTTATCGTTCACCGCACCCTGGAGGCTGCGCTCGCCAAGGACGGCCGCCATCTGGCAGCCGCTCATCCCCTGCTGCCCAACCACTGGTCGCGCTATTTCCCGCACGCCCCGCACGCCGGTCTGCTGCCCCACGGCTCCGCTCCAGAACTTGTGCCTGAGCCCAATGTCATTTCAGAAATCGCTCATACCTGCAATCTGCGCAAGGACGCCGCCAAAAAAGCCCAGGACGCCAGCGCCAAGCTGTTTGCCATTGCCTATCTGTCCCGCTCAGCCCGCCGCGCAGGCCAGTCAGGTGTGTTTGCCCGTGCTGTTATCACAAAGCTCCGCCAGGACAGCTTCGTTGCCACTCTCCCGGCCTTCGGCTTTGACGCTACCATCTACATGGACCGCATGGCCGACAGACGCAATCAGGTGCGCTCCACAGACGGACGTCGCTGGGTCTTGGACATGTGGCTGGTCGATCCCGCTGCTCTGACCCTGTACTGGAACGCCGAATGTGATCCGCCCAACGATTCCCATCGCTGCGAACTTGCCGATCAAATGGCCGCCCTGACCATCGGCTCTGCCGGTCAAAGCAATGTCAGCCTGCCCCGCCACTCGTCGCCCGAATCCGTCTGCCAGGTCCTGCGCGTCTTTGACAAGATCACTGTCTACATCGAGCCAATTATGAACCCGCCCGATTTGTCCTTCAAGCTGGCCATGCCCACCATTACAGACCTGGTCTAACCTACACTTATCTCTCAGCATGACTTTACAGAATACCTAAAAACAGTATATTTATTTTACCATAAATAAAAAATAGCTGACAAGCGACAAGTACAAAAAAAATAGCTGCTTAAAATTGCAAAAAGCAAACTTATTGCGTTGACCGGGAATCGAACCCGGGACTAATGCTTGGAAGGCAGCAATTATACCACTTAACTATCAACGCATTT